ATGAAAATTCACGACTGAAAACTGAAACCGAAATCCTTATTTGTACCATTGCAGAAATTATATGAATTCATTTTGGCTTGAGTTATGGAGGGTATTACAGGGTTTTGTCTACAGCAAGTTGCTGACACTGTTTCAATCCATCAGCAAAGAGAGCAAAGAAAGCATCCTTTAACCTTTATTTCTGATCCTCGTAACCATTATTACTTTATAGATGCACTAGTGCTTGAGAGTCCACGAGAGCATAACAGGCCTGACTCTCTCTGGCTAAGGATGCCCCCCATAGTGCAAATCTGCCTTTACGCTATAAAATTGATTTCTTCTTTAATAGTGCAACCAAACAATATACACTACCTGCAGTATACGGCACTCTGTCTAAATGACCGGGGCTGTGTCCAAAACTGCATACAATCATACTCTACATACTACACTGCTGCATGCAATATTATTGGTGGTGTTCTATTTTAGACATACTATTTAGTTGCTGTGGTTCTCCAAAGATGTGAAAGCTGGAAAATAAACAAGTGAGACATGAAAAATATTGGCATATTTGAATCCTGGTGTTGGTGAAGGCTTTTGAGGGTACCTTGGAAGGCAAAGCAAAAAAACAAAATGGGTCCTCAACCAAATCAAGCCTCACTTCCCCCTCAAAGCTCAGATTACTAAATATATCTTATTTTGAACATATCCTCAGAAGAACCAGTTCACTGGAAACACCTCTGTGCTTGAAACAGTTGAGCCTAAAAGAGAAAAAGGCTGACCATCACCAAGATGTCTGGATGCAATCAGAGGAATCATAAAACAACCTTTCAGAAGCCTAAGGACTGTAACAGAAGACAGGAAATGCTAGGAATCGGAGTTGAAATGATGGCGCTTAACAATTCACAATAATTCAGTTTGGTAGTATGAGGTTTCGGATGCAGCCCATGTGTATCATATAGTCTCTGTTGGAATGAAACTTTGTATCTCCAGTTTTGTCTCCAGTCATTATGTGCTGGGTCTCTAACATTTTAAACACTGGTTAGGATTCTTAAAATCCTGTAGTGTGGGCCAGGCATTAGCAGATATCCACTTCAATTAGGTGTTTCCTGTGTCCCTAGTAATGGCACAAACAGCTATTTGTATGAATTTACAACAGAATGTCTGCTGTCCTTAGTATAGGCATAACAGGTACTTGTATGCCTCACAACAGAATGTACGTTGTCCTGGCATAATCCTTAACAGATCAACCAATAGCTGCAGGGTGAATACTTAGTGTAAAGTCTTACATGGAGACCTGTTGGTCAGACTGAGCTGTTGTAGATGGACAGCGAGCTCTTCAAATTATACAGAGCCCTGCTGGTGACATCCCATATAAATAAAAATAATGCGTGGCCACAACTTAGTATGGTGTGGGAATGAGACAATTAAGTCTTGGCATTCAGTAACGCATATGAACAAGATCACACCTTACTAAGTTGTGACCATGCAGTAGGATCTCGTTTCCGCGCCTTGCTAAGTCATGGCCATGACTTAATTATCTTGTTCTCATGTATTACTAAGTCATGGCAACACATTACTTTCATTTCTACAGGATGTCACCACTGGGGCTCCGCACAGAAAAAGATTTACAACAGTTCTGACAGCAACGATATAAACATTACAGAGCGTTGTAGCGCACTCTTTAAAGCAGCTACATGTCAAAATTGTTTTAATAATCAACACTGTCATTGCAGCTCTAGAACAATGGAAACAGCATAACTTTTGGTCAAAACATTTTTATTCTTTGGCTAAAGGCTGAAAGTTCATTTCTGGCATTCAAAATTCCAGTGCATCCCTAGTGAATACATTACAGCCGCAGGAGAGTCTCTCGCTCTCTCACTGCAGCTGGCTTCTGAAGTGGTCGGACGAAAGGCCGTGCTCGTTTTCACCGGGTTGCTTCATCATCCTGCCCCCTCATTAGTGCTCTGGACTTTAGCAGGGTGTGCTTTAATGGACTGGGACAGAGCACTTCCGCCGCTCTCGCCAGGCTAGCAGGAGCAGAAAGTCTAATGTCGCTGGTTGGTAGGCCTGTATGCTGAGAGATGAGCCCACAATGGCTGTCTGCTCTAATGAGAGTGCAGAGACAGGTGCCGCCAAGAAAAGGGAGACAAAAAAGCAAATTATAATGCGGAAACGGCATCCAATAGCACAGATTGGTGTCTCTGGCTTTTGTTATCGTATGCCATTGTTTGTTCGGAGCCAGCGTGTCCCAGATCTCGCAGGGGAGCGAGTCCATTTGCCTGCAGTGATTGAGGCTGGCCACAGCCTCTGACAGAAGCTTAACGAGGACATGATCAACTTTAACAAGGTGCAGTGGCAGTGCCAGTGGCATGGGCAAAGGGACAGACTGCCAAAGGCTCATTTCTGACACTGAATAAAAGAAGTTTGTGTGTCTACATTTGAGAGCTGTCGTGCTGTTTCTTTCTTGTTGCTGCTGGAGACCCTTATCTTTACATAAGCAGTGAAGAGTAATTCATCCAAGCCGTATATGAGTCAGATCGTAATAACTCATGACACACACACACACACACACACACACAGTGGAACAGGGGTCAGCGGAGCATGTGTGTGTGCGTGTGTTTATATATGTGCATGTGTACAGCATACGTGCATGGGACAGCATGTATAAGCCTGTATACAGCAAGGGACAAAAGGGGTGGGATTGGATAATATGACAGAAAACGAGAGAGACAGACAGAGAGAGAGAGAGAGAGAGAGGAAGAGAGGAAGAAAGAAAAAGGAAGATAAACTGAGACAGATATCGAGAGAGAGAGAAAGAGAAAGAAAGAGAGAGAGAGAGAGAGAGAGAGAGAGAGAGAGGAAGAGAGAGGAAGCAAGGGGGGAGAGAAACAGGGAGAGAGAAGGAGGGAAACAGAGAAAGAGAGGCAGATAAAGAGAGAGAAAGAGAGGAAGCGAGAGGGAGGGAAACAGAGAGAATGAGAGAGAGAGGGAGGGAAATAGAGAGAATGAGAGAGAAAGGCAGAGAAAGAGAGGGAGCGAGAAAGAGACAGGTAATAGCTAGATAGATAATAGCTAAGGAAGAGTGACATGTGTCCAGCTTTATGCTCCATTGCCTATTCAGCAGTGGACGCAAGATAAGCGACTAGCCTTTGGCTGACAGCGAAAAATGAAAATCATGTGCACCTCCTACTGACCTTTTAAACAGCAAGCCAATGCATAGTATATACAAGCTGCAGTCCCTCCTGAGCACTTTTTTACTCTTTGCTTTACTTTTCCACTCGTTTCATTGATGTAGGCACATTTTTCATACAGTACTGAAATGTTATTTGCTGGCAAATAAAACGTAATCATTGTATCATATCAATAAAGAGAAGCCATGAAACAAATCACCACTGCCTCATTACATTTAGCTTCCTGACGTCACTTACAGATTCCTCCCATTTTAAGGAGATTACTCTTGGCCTCAGCCCAATTACCTTCTCAATCATCAGAAGGACCTCATGCTCTATTAGCCAAATTAGAGCTAATTAAAATGTGCACACGCAGGGGTTCGTGTGGCTGTTGCTTCAGTAGATACGCTTCATTCTCCCTGTTTCTGCCATACAACAGCTCCACGGTAATGCCTCAAAATGGAATCAATGAAAATAATAAGAATATCATGAGAAGAAGGTTCAAACCTTGGATTTGACTATTTCTAGAAACAAAAGAAGAGAAGAAAGACATCAAACGCGGCTGAGATGATCGATAACGTGTTGCAGCAATCGGGCACAGACAGAACAGAACTCGCACTAAATGTGTGCATTTGTTTTAGGCACTTTATGTGAAGCAAATGTATTCAAAATGACAGGAATGAGGACTTTCTCCTAGTCCTAACATGAAAATATAATGTTTCCACCACAGTTACCCACCCATTCCTAACAAGAATTCACAAGGAGCGAGACCACCCTCCATTTATTTAATGTCCAGTCAAAATGGCCATTAAATACAAGTTATTAATTTTCCAGCATTAGAAAAAAAGCAATTACCCAGAAGCCTACAACATTAAGTACAATACATTTTTGCCCCTATTACAGCTTCCATGTGTTTCAGGAGACTTGTTTTCAGTTTTCAAAGAAGTGTGTGGGGATATATTTCCACACCTCTCAAGCAGTCTTGAAGTTGGTTGCATCCATAACACATTCAGTGATGTTGAGGTCTGGACTCTGGGGTGGTCAGTTCATTGTTCTGAGAACACAAGAAGCTTCTTTGTTTGATTTTGTCTATTTTTTTTTCTCAGTAAGAGCTTCTTGACAGCTACACAGCCTTTCAGAGCCATAGCTATGAGTTGTCCTCACAGTGGATGGAAAAACCACCTGTGTATTTTCTCATATCTGAAACAAGAGTGGAGTTTGATTTTCTCCTCTCTCTCAAAGATGAAAGCATTAAATGTGCTCATCTGATGTTCACAGTTTTGGTGGTCTAACAGGTCTTGCATGGTTGTTAGGAGTCCCATTTTCTCTACATCTTTTAATCATTTTTTGAACTCCAGTTTTGGAAACTCCCAGTTCTTCACTAATTTTCCTTTAAAATTTCCCTTCCTTATGTAAGTGGATTATCTAATATCTTAAATCACCTCAGAAATATCTCCAGAAAAATGAATAACTTGGACTTAATGGCCATTTTAACTGGAAATTAAATAAACAAACACGTGGTCTCCTGACTATTGTATAGGACTGTATTTATTTGAGGGTTTTAATGTTTATCCGTCCTGTTTTTAAGCAGGCTTTGTAAATGCTCACACAGTTCAGTTTTGTAAAAGTGCAATGTGACTGTGTAACAGAAATCCAATCCAATCCAATCTGAATGCAACCAAAACACTGCCCTTTGGTTATGCTAAGGGTAGCATTTGGTTTAGGTGTAGCAACATCGATATAAGTGTATAGACGTATTTATGTGTGAATCTTTCACAATCACCACCCTTTCCCTTAGACCCCCCGCCCCCGCCATGAACACACATAGCAGTATTGATGAACTAAGCTCACCATGGCCAGTGGTACGATGCCCCCAAGGTCATGAGGAGCAAGGCGGATGAGTGTGTAGATCTCCTCAGACAGAGTGCGGGTCATGGGGTACTCCACCTGCCAGGTGACCGATCGAGTGCCCAGAGGGTCCAGCAAGCCATTCACCTCCAAATCCACCTGCAAAACCTTCTGGAATCCCACATCCATCCTGCAAAACACACAGAAAAGAAGCAGGGGGAGTTAAATCAGACTTTTCCCCTCATGTATGAGGGCTACGTGACCGTAATAAGTATCTGATCTCTTCTTTGAAGTACAAACAGCAAAAATCCCATCTAATCAGATCTTTCCTATTCCAATTTAGACCACTTTCATTTGCCAATGGAGCAATTTCAGAAAATGATTATATGCTGATAGTGAAGTCTACACATAAGCTCACTCATCATCTAAGATGCCTACCCTCCTGGGTCATGAAGGGTGCTGGAGAAGTCTAAACACCCTAAAGAAAAAAAATCTGCTTTTAAAACGTAGCCAGAGAAACTTTTGTGAGTCAGATTTTTATGATTATTGACTGTTAAAATATAGACATCAAATTCCTCATAGCTATGCATGTACATGTGGACTTAGCTTAGGTCAGGAGCAATATATGTTCATTCCCATCATTCCAGCTCCATAAAAAAAACACATATCCCAGTAGCAATGGCAAGAAAAGCAATTTAGCTTTGTTCTAGTGCCACAGCACTCTCCTCAGAAAAGATCTCCAGAGCAGAGCGTAACATTTTCTATGGTGATTGTAATGCAAACAAAGCAGAAAAACAATGAATAAAACCAAACTCATTCCATTTGCCCGGGCTCTGGTTTGATCAGCCTGGGTGCTTTCCACAGCACGGTACTTAGTTAAAACAAAATCACATATGAAATATTCAAAATAACAAAAGACGAATGTGGAATATTGAATTGCAATTCACACCCGGTAGCACAGCAAAAGTATTCTTTTTTTATACACCGCTGAAATTCAATCTCCACCACCCTGCCGTAGCACCTTTTTCAGCCCTTATCCTCAAATGTCCCTCAGACACACACACACACACACACACACAAAGCCTCTAGATTTACAGTTACACAGGCTGGCGAGAAAGTTTGTCACAAGATCCTCAAAGATAACAACACTCAGCTGCGCGTTTAGCCGACGTCTGAGGTTTGGGAAAACACGCATTTGCAGTTTGCTCAGCGCTGGAGACAGTAGCAGGCTATTCAAAGGCAGCTTCAGCAAGTCTGTATTCATAAAGCACGCCAGCAGTGGAGTTTGAGCATACATGATGGGATCTGGCTAGAGCCAGATATAAATAATATAAGCCACTGGTATAAGAACTGACCATTACTGAAAGCTATTTTTAAAAGCTAAAAATTCCAATAGTCGACAATATCGGCCAGTACTAAGTTAATATGGTCCAAAAGTTTGAGTTAAACAATGCTTTACTGAATGGTTTTGTTTATTTACTTATTAATTCCATTTCTATAGTACTTTTCTCATACCCATATTGCTTAAAAGGAATGTCCACCAATTTTTAAAAAAGAATTCTGCATAATTAAATCATTCAAATGTAAACAAAGTCATTCAGAGTGGGGTGATGTGAAACGCACTGTTCTAGAGACGCCTACTGAGTCAGAATCAGGGACGTGGGAAGGTGTTTTAAGTTTGGGGTGGTGAAACTTGTAGCAGCATATATGTAACAAACACAGTAACGTTATGCTAATTACAATATGTCAATGTATCTAATTCTTTTAAACTTTTTTGAGAGAGACCACAAGGTACAGCTGAATCTGAGTCCCAGTCCCAGTTAATGCACACGCTCCTGTCTCTGCTCCCTCTTGCTGGATGAACTGTATGCAAATTAGCTGTGCGTCAACCAATTAGATTATTGATATGAGGCGGAAAAACGGTTGTGTCATGCCCATAATCCAGCTACATGCACACATCTAGTGGGAGATTATTATAATGGTTGAAAAATGGATGGGAATGGAAAATAATTAAAATTTAGTCAAGAAAGATTTTCAAACAATATTAGGCCACTTCGGGGCACAGAACTAGCCTATACCCCCTGCTTATGTTTTAGCAATACGCCCAAAGCAACATGCCCAAGCTACAAACCCCCAAAGCAGCCAACAGCTGGTGAGGGAAGCGATTTTCTTCACACTAAATTGCAGTGTTACCTTTACCAGCTACTCCAGATTTTGAACATGTACAAATAATTTTCTGATGAAAACGATAAATTGTGTTCTTTTTGTAATTTTTCTGTTGATGTTTTTAGCAGTTTCAGTTAAACAGTCCTGAGATCTGGGGATGCTGCAGCACCCTCAGCACCCCTGCTTCTCGAATCCGTGGTCAGAACTGTTCACAGTGATGGAGATAGGAAACAGACGTTTAATGCCTCTAATAGCTGCTGTACAGAAAGTCATTACATGATATGGTTATGAATTTGTCTGATGCCTGAGAATGATAGTTTTGTGATTGGCCTAAAACACATTCATGGTAGAGAGGCATTTGTAGGCCAATGTAAGGCAAAATAGTCCCTAAAGATTTTTAGATTTATCACTATTTTACCATTATCAACATAACATAAAGATTCAGAAGATGTGTGTAGGTTCACTGGTTGATTAAACAAAATGGCTAGCTTTGCATTATAGTCATTACAACCACTGGCTCCCATCATCAATGCTGTAATCCGATTCAGTAAGTTTCTCTATAATGAACCATCTCACATCAAACCACTCTTAACAATTTTGTTTACATCGCATTGAATTAGGCAGAAGAAATGACAATGAAAGATCAGTGGAATTCCCCTTTAAGCATATAAAAATCTTTAGAAGTGGCTGCCAGACATGCACAGCGTACTCTCAAATTGAAAATGTATTGTATGTGCTTGTATCTATGCTTTATCTGCAGCCAACACTAAATCCATGGGATATAAATATCATTCATATATGGGCTGAACCCTAGAACTTCCAGAAAATGGAGGCTCATTTCTTACACAAAAAGAGTCACTACTGAAAGAAGCCAAAGCCTCTGCTTGCTAAAAATAATGGCAAGGATCACTGTGCACTTTGTAATTTTTCACACAGGTAAGTCTGTGTCCTTTTTTCTGATACTGTAATATTACAGTCAATAAAACAGTAGCACCACCCTGCCATATTTCTATATTTAATCAAACAAATCTGAGACATCCCTCTATGTTTCACTTCCTCTTGATTTTTCTGTGCTGTGATATGGTGGCGTCCTGCCACTAGCAGCACAGGAGGCGTGGCCATGCTAAGTGACCATGCAAAGAGGCTCCTTTAGAAAGCACAGTGCTCGTGGTAGGGAGAGACATTTATTATGTGCTGTTGCTAAAAGCTTAACACATAAACATGTGTTAGTGTCTATTATAAAGAAGAACTGTATGGCTAGAAGAGACCTGCCTGCCATTGGTTAGCGCTGAGCAGCGGTTCTTTTGTGCTATCTGTTCAATAAAGGAGCATTTTCCTTTAAACTGCAATGTCTCCCACATCTTCTTCTTCACAGATGCTACAGTATTATTATAAAAATAATTGCGCATCATCAGTTATCACCAGCTTGCACATGTCAACACAGTCATCAGTGTGCTTATAAAATATCAGTACAAGAATAGGGCACAATGAATTGTGAAAGCTCATTTCTTTTACATTTTTTACACATCCTTGACATAATGACATTTCCAGCATTTCCCGCATGTATGGATCCTTGAGGGTGATTGAGACCGCTTAAGCTGTGAAAAACTGAAATGACCTGATTTTTCACAAAGAAATCCCCCACAATACCCAATGCAGTGAGCACACAGAGTGCTCAGCATTAACCCTTAGACGTCAAGAGCTATTACTTGTTTTTCCTCAGGGTGATACCAGTATACAGTATTTTTCCTGTACATATCTGCTGATGCAGATACCTATACAAGCATGTTTATAAAATGTAGAAATTGAGACATCATCTACCTGTATTAGCATTACAGAGAAACAGAACATTCATATCTGTAGGGCTGCAAAGGCAGTAAAATGAATAATATGCAGAGATCTTAGCACAGAATACCAGCATCATCTAAACATTCGGATCTTCTGGAGTACAACAAATACGTCACGAAATATTGATTTAAAATATTGGTCAAATCCACATATTTGCCTCATTCTGATACACTATATGGTCAAAAGTATTGGGACATCTACACATTACACCTACCATCCTGCCATGCCTTTATGGACTTTGCTTTGTGCACTGGGACTCAGTCATGCTGGAACAGTAAAGGGCCTTCCCCAAACTGTTCCCACAAAGTTGGAAGCATACAGTTGTCCAAAATGTCTTTGTCTGCTGAAGCATTAAGATTACCCCTCACTGGAACTAAGTAGCCTAGGCCAACATACTTGGCTGAGCTGTCGTCACTTCTAGGTGCTTCCATTACTAAGTAACAGCACTTACAGTTGACAGGGGCAGATCTAGCAAGACATAAATTTCACAAACTGTGAAGGTAGGCATAGGTGGCATCCTATGACAGTGTCATGTTTAAAGTCACTGAGCTTTTCAGTATGACCCATTCTACTGGCAGTGTTTGTCTATGGAGACTGCAAGGCTATGTGTTTAATTTTATCCACCTGTTAGAAATGGGGGTGGCTGAAACACAATGATAGGGAGGGGTGACCCAATACTTTTGTCCATATATATATGTTTTATATATATTTTTTAAGAGAATGCCTGCCAATACTAATATCATTCTGATATCATCATGCATCCCTAGTTTATTCTATACTATTAAAATGTAATCATGTATTTCTGTATTTAGATACATAATACATTACATGATTAATTAGATTTATGTTAGATTCACATTCAGTACCATCAGCTACAACTTGGCACATGATATTTTTCTCTGTTTATCAACCAAACATGGAAACAATGTAAATATTGGTTTATATTTCTATGAAACAACAACTTTCTCAGCAAATTCATAACATAATAAAATGTCTCTCCTTCTACTTATGTATATAAATATGGTATGTATTGAAAGTCTAGAATCTACATGTTCAACAGCATTTCTCCATTTTCATATGATCTATGAGTGATAAGTAATTAATACAGAATCATACCATGCTTTTGTTATCACCAGTGTTAACTAGAGATGGCACACTGATATAGATGGCTACGGG